ATCCGAAAGTCAATGTAGCTGGCGCTTTGCGCTCACCCAATGGAGCTTATCTGCGTACCGTATCATCAAGCACACCCAGGAGCCGTACGCGAAAAGTGCGATCCACGCAGATTCTATTGCGAGATAAAGGGATGAGAATATGCGGAGCGCACGCCGCTGCGCGCAACAGGTGTTAGCTCGGCACTCTCTGTGGACACACGTGTTTACCATACATCCAGGGGGGAAGGTCTGAGGAACCAGCGGGGGCTGAAAAGCCGGCCGTAACACATACGGAAAACGCCCAACAGAAAACAGCTACGCATGAAAGTGGCGTTGTGGTCAGGGCTCTGCCTAAAGTCAAATTGCCGAGGCTCTTGTAACTCAATTCAGACTACTCAATGCCTGTTGCACTCAAAAAACACGCATATAATCTCATCGCACATTAGTCATTTCGTTGTTGCATAATTAATCGGTCTACATTGCCGCAGTCTTGCGCTTTTCGCGCGATAGGGATGCGATTATGCGCCAACATTCGTTTCCGATTCTGTCTGCTGCGTTAAACGCGACACGGGTACCATACGCTCTTCCAACAGCAACCGAAATGGTGATGCCAGAGGGAGCTTCACGTTACATTTGTTCTTACGCAAATACTTGGTGAAGCTTTGCAACGCATGTTCCAGATAGGCGTTGGGAGTAATCTTTCCTAGTCGTAGAGCAAGCAAGATACGGTAACGCCCGTCTTCTCCTATGTTCACCAGATGCTTCACCGCCTCCAGAGCCACGATATCGTGAACCCCCTGAAGACGCGCCATGGATAGTGGCAGCTTCTGTGAATCTACGCATGGCATGACGCCCAGCGTTTCCAAGGCACACGCCAGCAGTTCGGGCTCCTGTGATGAGCAGCCGTATGTCTCTATGGTATCCATCCAATGACCCACCACGGCCATCTCGCTGGGACTTAAATCGATTGTATCCACGTAGTGGTATAGCTCCGAATGAACATTGGCGTCTTCTACAGCGAAACAAAATTCGCTGCTCGAAACTGATCGCCCTTCCGCACCTACGGCGTTAACCTGTACTCATATGCTAGCGCTCTGCAAAGCTCACCTTAAAACGGATGGCAGCGTTAACGGCGCACACGCTCTTCATTGCGGCATCGATAAATACGTGTTGCGCTGCGTTGATATAAGGACAAGTTTTAATGCCCCCGTTTTGCGATATATCAGTGTAATCTTCAGTGGCGAATGCCACCTGCTTGCGCTCCATTGTATTGTATGCTGCTTCCAACTCCCGCCAGAAATGCTTAAGTTTTGCAGAAATGGCGGCCATCTTCTCCATCATAGAGTCAATAATGGTTTCCACGTTTTCCGCTTCTACGCTGTCACGTACAAAGGCGGCGTTGTCAACAATGCGGCAGATTACCTTCGCGAGATTATTAACTGCACTGACAGCACAACACAAAGCGTGCAGCGCTTTAACGTAATCTTCTTGGATGGATTCGGGAGCTGAGGGCACCATGTCGTCGAAGTCGACATCATCCGTGATGCTGTCCAGGCGTTTGAGGTGGAAACCATCGGGGAAATGAGTGAGCTGCCTTAATAATGCTAGCGTAGTTTCTCGTGATATCTCCTCACCGCTTTCCGCTGAGACGGCGTTAGATTCATTGTTTGGTTGAGACCGAAAGTTCCTATGGTCCAAGTTGGCAAACGTCGCGCATTTTCCATAGAGGTCGAGGTGCCCCCAATTCTTAATAGTCAGGTACGCTATGGAAAGATACAGATCTCGGTTCTGATAGTTGAAGGATCTGAAGGATTTTGCCAAGAGTCCTAAAGTCTCCTGGGCCCATTTCGAGTCGTCCTCGCCCTTATTGCTGATGTGGCCGTCTCGAGGACCATCTGCCTGTATGTCGCCGCTCACCATTTTCATCAGCCGTCCAGCGACATCATCCCCTGCGGCATTCACCAGGTCAACAGAGTACACGTTTGCCCGCACGTAGCATTGCAATAGTTGTGCGATTTCCTTCAGTGTCAGCTTGTCCATGTCATCAACAAACTCTCTGGCTGTAATCCGCAGCAGGTCGACGTCGAAATATCTCACGGTTGATAGGCTCACCAAGCAGCGCAAAAGGTCGCCGATGTTCATGACATCTCTGACCTTCCTGATTTTCTCACCTGCATATCGGCGTGACGCATGTATGATCAGGTAAACGTACTGATCTGCCACCAAAAAGTGCGATCCGCAAGGCGCATTGTCGAAGCCATAACACAGGTACGGCACAGCTCATTGTTGGAATAATACGTCGGATCTCCGAATAGATTTGAATATGGATGTGGAGGCAGTAACCTATGGAAGGGTCCCTTCTTGGAGTTCCTTCTACTGCTGAGTGCCTTTTTGATTGCGATAAGGTGTCTTTTCCTCCTATGCAACTCGAATGCCTCTGTAACGTAAACTGGGCGGTTTTGTAGACCTAGTAGCGCATTCCTGATGGTGTTATAGGCTGTTCGGCACTGCGTGAACCTTGTCTTGCGTAGGATGTGAAAGGGTGTACCGACATCAGTCATTTTCAGCCCACAGCAATATACGTGCGATGCACCGGAGATATAATGTTTATGTCATGCTAACGCTGGTCGGATGTGTTGTAGTGTGTATTGGAATCTTGTCTGCGTCGCCCGTGGCGCGGCACATGGTCGTATTTAATAATATCCGCTGATTTTGTGTTATAAGATTGTATCTACGGATAACTTCACATTAATTGCTATTTTTACGATGGAGGTTGAGGCTTTCGGAAGGCCCGGAAGATGCTCGTTTCGTTATATTTATGCGCTTTGCTGACGTTGCTCCTGCGTTCACCATCCGTGAGTTTTGTTGTAAATAGAGCTTCGCAAGTGAGTTAAACACCACACTTGATATATAATCAAGCTTCAGATCGTTGATGCCCCTCTCCGACGTCTCGAATTGGGCGTGCAGTTTCGCACCAAGATAGGCAAGAGGCCGCACGGAACTAGCTCCCTGCGCGACATTCGCCGCAGTCACTTCCAGGAGTTGACTAACGAGCGTTGCAAGCTGTCGAAAGGAGACAACAAGGTCATCCACGATGCGAAGATGCTTTTCGTGAGCAACGTTGACCCAGAGATAACGCAAGACGCACTTGACTACCTGATACATTACATCCATGGCCCTTTAACGAGCTCCACGAAGCTTGTGAAGGATCGTTATACACGTAAGTCGCCAATGTACAGTGAAGCATCATTTTATCAGAACGCCACCGGGGTTACGGGTTTATAAGGTTCTCGACACCTGAAATCGCAACGAGAACCTTGCTGTCGCTGAATGGAGCACGGTTAGGTAACCGTCAAATAGTGCTTTCGGAAGTCATATCGTCTCTGTACCAGCGTAAGAAGATGCCCTCCATCCTCCAGGCTGCAAAGCGCATTATACGGAAAATACATAGTCGCCCTGACAAAGCGCAAGAAGTGGACAAATATGATGTAGCATTTCTACCAATCGAGCGATAGGAGTTGTACGGTGCCTCCGCTCGTGATACATCGCTACATTTTTTCAACTGTGGCGCAGGCCAATGTTCGGTTTTGCACTTTGTTGCTACTGCACCGTGCAATAGCATTACCCACCACCCAAAGAGAAAATTCAATGCGGTTGTGGGTAGGATAACTCGAAATTTACAAGGTAATCATATCGCAAATTCACCGTATACATATCTCACCGGGAATGTCACCCCCTATGTACATATGCCAAACAATGTCATGCCATAGCAAGGCAGCTGAATACAGCTCAGAAAAGCGTGATTATCGGCACATTTGTATGTTGGCGTTTTTGAGCAAATTTGCTTTATGTACCTGGCCGTAAGGCAGTATTATACAGGTGCATCGGCTGCGTGCCATTGAACTATTTCGTTGACCATAGTTGCGATGATTGACTCATTCCAGCGCGACAGATCTAAACAAGCATCGTAGCCGTACACGTTCTACATACCTGTGGTATCAAGAAGTACGGTTTTCAACCCAGATTCAGTCTTAAAACGGTTCTTAATCCAGGTCATTTGCCGTCGTGCATATTGCCAGGTCGCTGTGTCTAGTGCTTCAGCACAACGCTGGATGGTACTATCGTCCAACTCAACGTCCTTATCTTCCGCTTCCTTGAGTATTGGAATGATTTCTTTGTACGCTGGACATTTTAACAGTGGGTTGACCACAGTTTAACGTACCTATGCTCTGGCAGATGCCTCTACGAAAATCCATGCCTCCCTCGCCTTCTGAAATCATCAATAAACGAGTAGAAGCCCTAACCCATAATGCTCATGAGTTTTTTGCACTCATCTAAAATCCCATCCTGAAAAATGCATAGTGGAGAGCAGCCAAAACCAAACCTGAAGCATCTTACGCGACCGTTCCTTTATCCTTTTCTTGTGCTCGGTTGCATCACAGGTCATTGCGAAAATGAGTGCATCATACCTGTCACTGGTGTTTCGTTCTGTATATAGGCTAACTTTGGGCCACTTTTGTGTTTGACATCAAGACGCCTCTTGATCAACTCGCTATGTTTGACGCCGTAAAGGTTTATTACCTCCAGGCTCCTGACGACTCTCTTGCGATCATTTTGGTGTAGCACTGCAGCCTGCAGGCAGATGTTTTCGTTACCGTAGCCTTAATCTCACTCTTTGCGGATCCAATACGGCCAGTTTGTCATGCAACTCGGCGTTGCTATACTCTAGAGGGAGATTAGTAGTGGCTTGCAAGTGACTACCTTGATATGGGTCGTTATTAAATTCTGCACTAGTTAAGGCGCATCCCTTCATTTAAAAAACAAACCCGCTTCTTTTCCATCCAAATCTATGACAGATGGCCAGAGAAGTGACTCGATATAGAGATTCGTCCCTCCAACCAGTATGGGCAGAATGCCATTGTTGTGCATGTGTGTTATCTGAAAATTTATCACTCTATCTTCTACACCCAACCGACAAGCTGTGACGCTGTTGAAACATATTTGGCCGCGTTGTAGTCCGTAGGGGGAGGGATATATCCGAAAAGGTGGTGTTTCACCTTTTCCCTTTGTTGCAGTGTCGGCTTAGCCGTCCCGATGTCAAAACCCTCGTATACCTGCGAGAAGCGTCTGCACAGGCTCACATTTTAATCCACCTGCATCGAATCTGCGTTTATAACTTCAGCTTTTATGTCGTGTTCTTTAAGCATGCTAGCGACCTCGATGGATGCATCTGTTTTCCCTGTTGCAGTTGGTCCCAAAATGACGACAATCGTCTTTTTAGCCCTGATTACAGAATCTCTATTGTTGCGTGAGTCCATTGTTTTGGCTACTTGTGCGTGAATTGCCGCTTTGGGAGCATTGTGTAACTGGTGTTGTCTAAATCCGTGCACAGCGCAGATGTGGCAAAGCCACAAGTACTGCGCTATAAGTATACGCAAAGCACCGTTAACCATACACCATACTCTTTAACATCACTAACGATTAGTTTGCGATATGTGTTCACTTATGGTGACGCTTCCGGATTTCTTGGGTGGTGGTTGCATCGATGATTCCACCATACTGCGATATGATATTTGATGTAGCAATCCTGAGCTCGTCGCGAATCATTTCATGTTGCGCCTTGACGAGTTTGAGATACATTGTGAGCACTGTGTTCCTCTCGTTCCTCTCCGCTGCGTCGCGTTTCTTCTCCATGTTCATTACGTAATCTTCCACCGTCGGATAAGGCTCTTCTGATTGTCCTATTTTGACGTTGAGCTGTTTCGTATTTGGCAATGGATACGCGTATGTTTGTATGAACGCCGGCGCCTGTTTTGGTTGCAGCTGCGCTCGCGGCGCAGATGTCGTATGCGTTTGAGCCTGGTATAGCTGCGTATTGACGTATTAGTGGCCTAATGCGCATCAACCAACCTCTATTTGCGTCAAATACGGCTTCAATTGCAACTTCAGGGCTCTTTCCAGTTCTGAACACATGTTGCTTTTAACTGTCCGTAACCTACCTATGAGTGTGACATTCGTGAGTTGTTCCATTTCATCAGATTGCTGGTTAAACACTTGTATCTCTTCGTAGCTCCTGCTCTGTTCGATTTGCTCCATTTTGGTTTTGATGGCGGGATCAGGTATATCGACTTCGCCCATCATGACTCTGACCGAGCTGGGTACTATGTTTTCGCCAATTTCTATGAATGAGGGGGCCTTGGGAAGTCTGCAAGTTCTGGTTGATGTTATAAGAATGTAAATTCGTACGTTTGCGATTTGAGATGCGATTCCTTCTTGGTGTCTACAGTGCGAACGATCGTCTTCAATCGTTCATCATTGAATATGTCCAGCTGCTGCATGGCGTTGTTGCCTTCATGATCGTCAGATGTCGTACCTGATTAACGATTTGCTTAATTTTGTCGCGGGAGTCCACCAATGTTTCATTGAATTTATCTTCCAGCTTGGCCATCATCCCCTGATTTAGCATTGCCATCACACTGTTAAGCCAACACACCTCTTCCATTTGCACTCTACGTGCCTCCAACTTGTCGATTTCATACGAAACTTGGGGGAGCGGCTGCACATAAGTTTGTGGCAGAGTTTATGTGTAACGAACGTACGTTCTCTGGAGGCGAGAGTTTTATTTCAATCGATGGTATAGACTTGGAATCTTCTACAAAGTCTGTGTCCCATTCCGCAAATACCTGTTACGTATGCTGCGTACTAAAAAAATGACTTACACATCTGCTCAAAGAGACCAGGCAGGCGTACGCCGCTAATGAATGTACACACAGATGTGTATTCATTTGTGTTTATAAACATTTGCCTTGTTTGGTTTGGTTTCATTAACTAATGGTGAACTTTACACCGGAGTGTCGTTGATGTCGTTTTTAGACCTCGGTATGGTAGGGTTGTACCCAGCTTGGTTTGTGAACGAATTGAGCGTTCATGTACATATAAGCAATTGTTTTTGCGATATAATCTTCCTTCATTTTGTCTACAGGCGTTGGTCATTGAATCGTGGTACTTCAGTCACATACCTGTCTTCAGTGTCACCCAGACACTCTGCGGAATATCGTGTACAAGCCATCCCATGTCTCTTAATAACTGTCTCTTGCTGTGTGTATGTGTGTGCACATCACACATTTAACTCACAATTTGGTGGGATGAGCTCCTTCCATCGATAAGCATCGCATATCACTACGGAAGATGTGTATGCTTTGCGGTAGTCATACCTGTCAGTTGACACTTCTATTACCATATGCGTGCCACTTAATACGACTGGCAAGTATATGTGCCCTGTAATGTGCTCTTAAATATTGGGAATCCAGCAACATACCAGCGATGGCTGCGTAGTGTCCAACGTTGAGAGCGTTCAGTGTGAGTCGCACAGCCTCAGTTTCCACGGAATCTGCATCACAAGGCACCTTCAGTCTAATATACTGCCGCACTTCATTTAGGAACTCCATATACGAACGTTGAGCGTATGGTAGCTGGTGCATAATATACGGGTGCTGCGATAAAGTGCAATAATACAAGTCGACAAGCGCCAGCTGCTCCGTAGAATTTGTGGATATAGTCGACGTCAGTATAGCATCTCCAATGCTTTTGATAGCGCTTTCCGTGAGAGGTTCTCCACACGCCAATAGTGCCAGGAATATCGTCCGTAGTACCAAAACGCGGTCTTCACCGCATTCCAGTGTCATTCGAGTTATGAAGCCTACTTGGTGAGCAGACAACGTAATGCCGCAGTCAAAGATGTCTTTGATGGTTCTATGGATGACGCCAAGATTAACCTTATCGGCATTGTTGAGCAGCACGTTGATGCTGGTTGCAGATCTGTGCCCGTACAGTTGACAACATTCTCCACCATCCTCTGCCCATGTATCGCTGTATCCTTCTATAGAGCGTGCATTACCGCACTGCGATTCCTCACTTCTTCGCGTGCCCACATGCTGCTCAGCTCTACTACTCGACACATCAGGCTTTACGTAACATATCTCACGTCTAGTAGCACACATAGGCAATAGTGGAGACACATTCTGCATTCACATGTGCATATTTGCATTTCATGCTGAGCGTTGCGTAGTTGGCGCTGGCAGACATACCTGACTATTATACGTGGTGGAAACCGCTATTGCCGACCTTCTGTGCGACAGTACTGCCCTGCTCCTATGTGTTATAGAGTTGGATCTCCATAAATGCGGAAGGGTACTCTTAAGCATTTGTAGCAACTGCCGCATCGCAACGCAGATCTTTGTCAGGCTGGAGAGTGCCGTTTATGGTTCATTGTGCACTGTAATTTAGTAATAATTCAGATGATGTTTCATACAGGTTGCCTTCCACATTCTGTATCATCATTTGGCTTTGCATCGCGCTGTGAAGGATGCGTGCGACAGCGTGTTGCGAAGGTATTTTAACTCTATTTTTGCTGATCCATATTGCTCTATATCATAATACTTGCGTGGGTTATACAACGCGTCTGCGAAGTTCAGCGCAGAGGCTAGAATCTCATCGTATTCCATCGTCAACCGTTGCCGATAGCTGCTTCTCCTTCGGTGGACGCTCCGCAGTCACACATCGCAACTATTGGAACTTTTGGTCATCGTTGAGTAGCAGGACTTCAATTGAGACGGTGATTCACACCGGCGATTGCGAGGATTACGACGTGAATTGCGTGCAGTACCGTAAGGCGCGTTTTTGGCGTGAGTTGAGTACTCCCGAAATTGAAGAGGTTAGTGTGAACACTTATAACCTGAATTTGTAATTGTATATTGCATGAATCCGATGTGCATTATCTGTGATTGTTATGTCTGTGTAACAAGCGAGTTTGTCTAAGCGGTACCGTCCTAGTTTTGAGCTTCGTTATGTGGTTTCACGCCAATTCAGGAGATTAGAAAAGTGCGCAAAGTGCTCGCCAAAATAAATCTCTACCGTAAAACAAAGAATCCTGCCCTTCGTCCGAGTTCATTGGGTAACACCCGCCGAACGCTGGCGCAGCTGCTGTTCATTCGCCACGAACGCCATTTGGCATCGCTACGTGAGGCTCAAGGACTGAAAAAGCACGCAAATGTAGCCGGTAGCAGTGACGAAACTGGTAATAGACATGGCTAATGTAGTATCTACCTTCTAAACTTGCTGTCTTTGGCGTCTGGCCAGCGCTTTTCGCCTTCCATTCCATCGCAATGACTAATCGCGGAAAGTTTAAATTTGAATCCGCTTCCAAGAGGGCGCGCATTCTGGTATTGACGGATTTCAGCGATATAAGGACTGTCGTCCGCAATGACGGTGAGTGTCTACGATATTTGCACATTAGTCGCGGTTATATCGTTAACACTAACGCCTACATCTTGTGCGGTGGTTGTTGTTTACATAAGATGTTATGTTGGCATTCAAATTGCACTCTCAGGTCCCCTCGAGGAGCGTCGTTTCTTTCTTCATCATCTGCGCAACACATTGCGGTCTAAGGATCTGCTTAAGCACAAGCAGACGTTGAAGGACATATTGAACAAGTCAAGTGTGTGGTCTGATGGCTCATCTTCTGCAACGTTACCTTTCCCCGAATGGAGCGCTTATGTGATTGAGAGCTTGCTGCGCTGTGCGCAGTTTGCTAGCAGCATCGAATTGATTCCTTTATGCAGACTTCTCGCGGTATTCTTCAAGGTACGATGCGTTATAAGTGACGACACCATTAATGTAGGATTATGGAGATCAGGATTGTCTTAAGGTTCCATTCGTTGGACTTCTGGAGGTTTTGGAGGCGAACAAGGAAAACAATGCCGAGGCAATATTTTCCTTTCTCTTGACACATTTCAGGTATTTGACGATCTATAAGATAACGCAATTGTATGTTTTAGGACCAACAGTCGTTGCGTTAGCGAGGATATCGGCGAGCTTCTGACGAATTTCCAGCCGTGGTTGCGACATGAACACCAACTGATACGGCGTCTCTCTATGGAGTCACTGAGCTCTCTTCTAAGAAGAGTGCCAGAGGCGACATTACGGGATGTGCTGTGCGGTCTTCTCTGCATGTACGTTTAATGATTACAGGTGACATTGCGTTTTAGGGATGGTTCCGAGCACCTTTTCTTCGGCATAATAAGAAATGTCAATGGAACATTCACAACCAAACTTCACCCACTTCTGAAGTTTGTGATCTCAAGCCTTACATCGGATACATTCCAGCCTCCATCCGATGTGGATGCTGTCGATGCACGCCGCAGAATTTCGTCCTCCATGAGACGGTGCATCCTATTGATGTCTCACCACTTCAAGGGTGCCAAGCTGAAGTTTGATTGGTTGGGAGATTTGTATGAAGACTTTGTTTGTAAGTACAATGATGACGCACTGTCCTCAGCAGCGGTGTCTGCTTACAGCATTGCCGCTGAGCTATGCGTCGAGATACTCACGGTGTTCCGTGACGATCGCCGGATAAAGATAAAGGATATAGCTCTGGTGCGTTCGGCCGCATGTTTCGATTCGTTTTTATCCGATTACGTGATTCCGCTGTTGTCCTTTGCGAAGAAAGTGGGAGCGCCAGGTGTTGTGTTGTTTGAAGAACTATCCCAACTGCTTGCGCGTGTAGTGCGTACTCCCGGAGAATCCGCCACGGTGTTACATGATAGGTTTGGCGAGATTATTGACTACGTGTTCTACTTCATGAGTAACGGCAGCGACATCAACCCGCTTATGGTGTTGTTTGAGTGGCGTCTGAAGTGTGACAACCTAGAGCATATAGCTCACTTTTTACTGTTGATATCGCAACTTTTTGATAGTAGGGAAGTGTTCCACCCAATACTTGTGAATCCTGCCGTCAATGCAAGGATTTGGGAGTGTATCAAGGCAAGCATGGAGAATATAGCACGACTGAGGCAAGAAAGTGCCCAGCAGACGGACCCAAATTCTGTTGCTGACTCGGTGTCGCGTTTAGAAGTGGAAATGTCCGTATTATTCGGTTGTGTGAAGGGGTTGCGCAGCATCCTGTCCCTGAGACGCAAAATGACGTCCATGTCGGTAGAAGTTGATTGGAATTCAGTCGAGTCGATTCTTCATGAGTGCATGGTTTCGCTCAAAGCTGGAGAGAGCCTAGATCTGGTGTCCGAAGTATTTCTACAATGCTGTCTGATGTTGGACGAGCCAAGGTGCACCACTTGGATTGAGTTGTTGGTCGGAGTTGCCAACGAAAACCCAGTCTTGCTGGCTAATCCCCGCATCCTCGACGAATTTTGCAATCATTTCACGGCGTCAATGGATGCGACGGTGGCCGGCGTTCTGGCGTTACTTCCCAATGAGAGGGCAGATTTTCGTCAGTCTGCCTTGAGGCTATTTGAGTTGTATATGACATCCCAGAGTATAAAAGCACCCGCTTTGGACGCATTGTTGGAGATGGAGTCTCTGGAACTATCCATGGAGAACGAGCGGCGTAGGTCATTGCTAATGGAGAAGAGCATCGATGAGTTGGAGTTACTTGAGGACTGGAGCCCGGAACGCGAAATGTTGGTAGACGTCGTTTTTAAGGTTTTATTGAGTCAGTACTACGTGAAGTATGCTCCGACATGGCAGGCTGCATCAGAGAGTCATGATAAGTTGCTGGTGATGCTAAAATCCGTTTTTTCGGCTAAGAGGAGGTCGACTCTTGACGCTTTGCTAGATAAAATGTGGACCACTTGTTTCGATGTAGTCAATGCATGCGAATGTGAAACTCCTAAGAAAGCAACGACGTTGCCGTCGTTTGTTGCCCCTTTTGTGATGAAAGGACCCGCCGAGTCAACTGACCCTGTTACTAGGCAGCGTGAAGTTTTGAGTGTTATGACAAGCATTATATCGCATACAAGCAACAAAGAGTCATACATCACGCGTTTGTGTTCTTATGCAGTATCGCATATGCTTGATGACTCCAAGGAAACCTATCGCAAGAATTCGCTTGCTACGGCGTCCTCGATGTTGCAGAAATATAAGGTGAAAGATGGAGTTGCTGAGCTGGTCAGCCTCTGCCTACGAGATGGCCTTCGTTCGCCAGATAACGCCATTAGGGAGTGCTCTTTATCAATCGTTGCCACTAATTACCCTGGCCTCAACCTGAAGCGGCTACAGGATGTATCATCCTGCAATGTTGGTAAATCGCCCGACTTCGATGACCCGTCATCGTCGGCAAATGTCAACGACTCCAAAATACAGGCTCTTTCGTTTGGGATTGAGATACGGCTTCTGTGCCCTCGCATTCCTCAAAATTTTAAGCAGATGCACAGCAACTGTATCTTTGACTATCTGTCACGTTTCAAACTGCGATATTTAAATTTATTGATCGCCGAGTTGCTCCCAGGACCATTGAAGGGTTTGTTTGTCACGAAATCCGACCTGTCTGACGCCTCCTACGCTTGGATGGTTGAGTTAATGTGTTTTAATGGTACTTTGCGTAACCAGCTACCGCTTCAGAAGGCCATTAGGACACTTTCATTACTCTTCACCCGGCTTAAAATGAATTTAAAGACACAAGCCTCACAAGTATTCGAATGCTGCGCCCGTATTCTCACATCCTGCACAGGTGTAAATCCAGCAGAGGGGACGTCAGATCCATTGAACAATTTTGGTTCCAAGGTAGATGCAATGGTAGGGACAACAATTGAGCTGATGATCGCTCTGATTAATACCTTCAAAGAATTGGTCCCCACCTTCGTCCCTATTTTGTCCAATCACAGGGGTTTTATAGATGTGCTGTTGGGTAAACACAAGGACGTTCTCTCCCTCGTTGCATGTTTGACGAATTGTGTGGAGCATATAGGGTTGATATGCACATCGGTTATTGGACCCGTGCTGCCTCGTATATTTAAACTTCCACCGACACCAGAGCTCTTGGTAGTAATGGATAATATATACGACAAATACGCACTGTTGTTGCTGAGCACTGCGCTCCCCGGTGACCCAATGCTGCAGTTGCTTACTGTGGAGTCTGGGACCGTATTGGAGTGTATTAAAGACTATAAACCCGTGGCAACCCACATCATGAAAGCAATATTGCGGCTTCCCGTGGATGACAGTCACCGCCGAACATGTTTGTCGATTTTATTGGCAAATTTGCCAAATGTGAGGAAATGCACAGTACAAAAAGCTCTGACTGAGACTTCAATGTCCAATCAACTGCTGAATTTGCGTAGTTTGTTATATTGTTTGAAGTTGTGTGTTAAGACGTTAAGAGACGATGACGCATTCACCGTTGACACAATATGGGATTTTTCGAACGAGTGCCTATTCTACATCGACGATTTATACTGCAGGGTCTTGTGTTGCGACGTTTTATCATCCTTACCCGTAGAGGATAGAAGTCTAAAGTCCGTTTGTGCCCATTTGCACAGCATGAATTACTCCACAAACACCAGCATTGACGCGAAAATAGATTTCGACATCAGCTGCGACCATTTGACATCCTTAGTTACGGAGTTTGAAGAACATATACCGTCTCCCAAGGCGGTGCTAAGCGCGTTGTCACACGCTCTGTTTGTGTTGCTTATTGGCCACAAAGAACCCGTATTGCGTCGTTGCGTGCTGCAATTCACGTCGTGTGTGATTGATATCATACACAAATCGATGTCCAATAGCAATGCGGCAGAAAACGTGGAAGAAGTGTCAAGGCACGCGAATTGCGATTATATGGATACAAGCAGCTTGCCATATAGCGCCCTCCTGTCGAAAGCCATATTTCCTTTCGTAAGGCGATGTTTAGGGGGCGCACATATTAGGGAATCATTGTTTTACGTGGCTATTGAAGTTTTGGAGCAATTTGGCATGCGATTCAGCGGAGATACCGGCTCAAAAGCTTTCCTTACAGATTCGCTTCACGGTGATCTGTGTAGTGTTGAGGTCGTCGAATGCCTAAGCAAATTACGGGACGTACACAAGTACACGCGTAACGAGGGGCTAAAACAGCTTTCTGGTCTGCTTTTGCGCGATGACGTGTTCTCGCCGGATACCACTTACCGATTCCTGGTACCGATGTGCCTTCGGTTCTTGACGCAAAGCCAATCACCCGTTTATGGTTTGTTCTGTGAGAATGCTCGCACATGTTTGGTTTCGTGCGGTGGGAAGCTTTCTGGGATCACGTTATTGAAATTTTTACGCCAGCTCATTGACGTTTACGTCCTCTATAAGGTAACGCCAGCTCTCCATGTTTTTTCTGGCGTATTGCATGCTATACCAGCAACTAGCGATGGTAAAGAGTCGAGTTTTCTCAGTGACCAAGGTGCTGACAACAGTTATTCCCGATGGATGCTTCAAAAGTTCCGCGGCATGCTGGCACACTCGCAGCCAGATGGCGATGGTATACCTTGCGTGGAGGCTTATGAGGCTTTAGGGTCCTTACTGTCCCACCACAGCAAACATGACCGTGACAGGGAAGTGATCAAGTATTGCCGAATAATTTGCAAGTCCTTATGCTCCAGAGGTCGTGATCCGAGGCGTTATGGGCGTCAATCTCTGAAGAAGTTCCTGCATTGTATGGGATATTCCTACTTCCCTGCCGTCTTGAAGGAGCTATCAGCAAATCTTACTCGCGGATTCCAACTGTACGTTTTGATTTTCACGACCCACTCCCTTTTGTCGTCATTTGTTACGTCCAATAAGTCGCTGAAAATTAGAAGTGAGGATGGTTTGGATTTAATATTTCGTATGATAACAACTGAGCTGCTCGTTAAGCACGAGAAAAAGGACACTGCGGCTAAAATCGACGAGGAACGGCAGTCTAAGTCGCCAAGTATTCTAGAGTTACTGAGTGAATTCGGCGATATTGGTGTTTGCCTTAACGTATGTCGTTACCTGTGGTCTCTTCTCAAGGGGACCTGTAACATGCCTTCCGATTCTGGATTCGACTACTCCAACACACTTATGAGAAATGTGAATAACTTGTTATTGGAATGTGTTCGTGGCTTTTTGGCTAACAAGCATGTGGATCTATATTGCCTGGCGAATGTCCTCTTCTATGGGTTTTTGCCATCAGTTAAAGGGGTGCCGGCGCTAATAAAGCAAGAACTGCCGTCGCAAATATCATCGCAATACACGCGCCTAATAGGCGAAGTCGGTAAATATCTGAAGTGTTCCACGGAAACTGCGGCGCCCGCTGTTACATCCAACAAACAGCCTGACTCTGCGGCAATTTCAAACAGCAAAAAAGAGGAACACTATACTCTTTATCCCGGGACATCCACTGGCAGGTCTCTGGCTAAGGCTAATAAGGTCGGTTTTGATGATCACATAGTGGCTCCACTTTTTGTCACCGCTGCCTTGCGGTTGTACGGTAGTGTGTTGTCAAGCCCCGGAAATGCATTTCTGTCAAGCGAGAAGATCAACGGTGACGGTCATCCGGAGCCTTTTGTGTCTTTAGATTGCGTTGCCTCAGCCTCGAAGATTCCAGGCACCACTACCGCTTTCGTGATTCTCATCTGTTTCTTATGCGACGATGTGACCCTACAGAGATCATCCGTACCATGCCTTTTTCACTTATGTAGTGATTCTGGCAACTTCATGGATATGTGTGGATCGGTTCTGGCAGACAGCTTGGTGAGGCGGCTGGGGACATTGCACTTCGTTGGTTCGGAGGACATGGTAAAAGATTACCTGCGTTTGGTGGGCAGCTTCTTGCTATCGAGGTCACACAATATCCTTTTCAACGCCTGGAAAAAATCGGGTAAATCCAACGAGTTGGTTGAAGGCCTTTTACTTCAAATAGAGGCCAATCTGGATCGCCCGGGGTTGCAAAGTGCTCTTTTGAAGCTTTTCAACCGCCTGGTACTTATGGAGGTTTCCATTTCTCGAGCTCAGAAGACCTTGTATGAGGTATTCCAAGAGGTTTTTACAAGGATGTTGAAGGGCTCTTTAACTCCGTCCGCAATGCGTCTTTCGTCATATGCGGTAGCACAGTTTCTCACGATCGTTCCAATGGAGGAATCCAATCGCTCTAAAAGATTTGGCTTGTTGCTCAAGCATGTTACCTCTTCCATCTCATTGGTCCGTTTGACGGTGCTACAATGCCTACACCAGCTGTTGAAGAACTTATCGAAAAAGGGCAGCTGGAAACGTTACAGCGAGATGGTTGGCTTGGGCGTTGCAATGCAGCTTTTGAGCGAGTCCGACCTTCAGTGTAAACGTGTTATGGCCAGCATAATATCGCTCATTTGGTGTGAAAGTCCCGTGGACCAAAAGCGAGGGTTGTTGGAATGTTTCGCTCATTTCCTGGGGAATTCATCGGGATCTAAGGATGCTGCATATGCTTACTTCCTATTTCACTGTCTATCCAATGAGACCACGATTACTTGGATACGCAAAAGCCGCATTTTGGATTTGTCAACGGGATTCATTGGGTTGTTAGAGGACTCAAATTCCCTGAAACCCAGTGGCCCCGATTGGCAGGTGCCGTACTATTGGTTACGGATACTGTTCCACCTTTTGAGCAATTGCCAAAATTTCGACTTTTTGTTTGCAGTGAAAGGCGAATCATCCGTGGACGACCCCACTTCTCTTGTGCTGAACAAGGTTTGGGTCTACACCATCAAGTTTGGCATTCGATCCAGTCATCCATGGATTCGAGCTGCATCGCTTCGCGTATTGACGCTTGTGTTCAATAACAGATCCGCGTGCGACAGCCTCTACGGAGACGGAGAATGTGACATATACAGCATAGCCAGACCCTGCTTAAAGCTGCTTTCTGTGGAGACCGGTATGGTTGAACAACACGAAAAGGTGGCTACAGCGTTAGAAGAATGCCTTCGAGGGCTAATCCATAATACGCTTGCTCGCGCTTCTAAAACCGATTCAACTATAGCCCGAGTCTTATCCAAGGTTTGCTACAATTTGCGTCTGTGTTCGGGTAAAGCTCGCCACTGCCGCCGCCGCATAGCTATTTTGTTGTCACTGCTTCGTGAGTACTCTAGTGACACGCGTGCGTTTGAGAGTTTCCTGAGGGCAACGTTGTTACGGGTGACTATTGCATTGACCCGCGCGGCCAGATGTGACGTATACATAACTCGATCCGATGATGACAAAGCGTCAAACGAGGAAACAGCCGAGAGACGCAAATTAATGGCTTCGAGCATCGCAAGACAGATTTTGTCGGCGATAGAGTCTCAATTCCGTTCGGTGAACCAGAGCGGCGAATATTTGAAGCTGCTAAGTTATGCTCAAGAATTTGTCTCGCAAATACGTATTTTGAGGACGTCTAAGACGTCTTCAAGCCATGGTAATGGTGGTAAGCGTAGGTCTAAGAAACGCAAGCGAGAGTAATGCGACTATGTTCGATCTGTCCGTGTCGCACCGTATGAAAGGCTATATAAACTGCACCTTACGATGCGAGAGCCAAACTCATTATCACAGCTTAAATCTAATTCTTACGTTCTTATATAGGCCACATGGATCTATTAATTCACCTTACTTCATGATTCTATCGGGTGACGCTTTGAACAAAAGTCGGTAATGGCTGCCAACGTCTCTATCGGCCTTGGTTCGAAGTGGGTATACTTCGATACACTGATTTCATCTCTAAAGTGGCTCTTTAGCTGCAACAAATTAATCCACGATTTGCTGAATAACTATTTGTGATGCAGTTCCCACCAACTAAGTTGTTTGCGCACATCGGCCAACATAACTGGGAGCATTTTGAATTTCAGCGGCCAAAGCGATAGCAACCATAACATTCGTGATCTATACGTTATAAATGTCAATGCGATAATTCAATTACTACACTAAGAGTTCATATGTTCGAATAGTTTCATCGAACAGTTGGAATGTTTCTACTGCACTAAACTGGAGGCTGTAAGCATTTGCCTCATTCTAAGGCTTTTTACGTTCATCATGTCCCTTATTTTAGACATCACCGACTGCGTGTACCAGCCTGCAATTTGTAACGATGGGAGAGAGCCGCGACTCACCAGTTGTCTTTGAGCATGAGACGCCGGAATCACCATCGGTTTCTATTGATGCGCTATGAATCAGCTTCTGTATACCTGCGTCGAAGATGTCACATAGCTGGTAGAGTTGAGATGGCCTTGATGGCGGCGTTAGGAAGTGTAGCTCCGGGTTAAATGCACGCATACTCCCCACCACTTCAGCGTACGCTTCGTCGAGAGGCATAGGCATAGTTTGTGTACCATTTCCCTCACGGGCATTTGTCTGCTTCTCAGTTTTCCAACTTATAGTTCTATAGTACGGGTCTCTGAAGTCAATGATCTGCGTTGCCTGATTAAGCATTGTAGGTGTGTTCAAACCTGATAAATTTTTGCGTTTGGATCCTTCCTTGGGTCATATCCCAGCCTGCACATACAACCGCGCCACGGCCCATCTGATAAATTTATAGTGTCAACGAGTGGTTCTCACCTGCGAAAATGTAACAGATCCGCGCAAACGCATTTTTCTTCCTCCAGCTGGTGAACCTTGGTGCAAGGTACTCATCCATTGAAGTTCTAAGCCATATTTTCCTCATGGTGAAGAGTTTTTTCAGTGCCTTCATGAGGTCTCGATCTGCGAACGTTTTGCACGGTTTCACTGTTGTCCTTACCAAGGGAGGTATGCCGCGTCGATTCCAGTGGCTTTGTAGGAATTTCGGGATCGTCAAAATGAGCCACAGGATTGAGCATTTGCGATTTCCGCACCTTGACATCCTTCTTGGAGGAGGCTTTTGTTTTAACTGTCTCTTTGAAGATGTTAGCGATAGAACCAATTTTGGTAAAGAATGGCGGCAACATTTCAAAGCCTTGATCCTGCATGTTAGGTCCAGGTTCCTCATCCGTTACGATGGGCAATTTTGCGATATGTAAAAAGTCCGCCGGTTGGTTGAAAGTAAAAACGTTGTTTACTGTCCCTATGATTTCAGTGGTTTGCTCCCCGTTCGACCATTTTTTCAGCTTTACGAGGATCCCGCAGGGTTTTCCGTTAGGGTTTTGAGTGGCGCTAACGAAACATCTGCTCGGTCGTATGCCCATGCTGAGCGCGAGGTCTGCTCGGATCTTTCTCGTCGTCTAATAAACTACCTTGGGTATGATGTAGCTTAGCAATCGCATCTTCGCCTCCCAAAGCTGCAATTACTTCACCTCCATCGCACCTATTTCGTGTGTGTAATGCGCTCATCATGAATACAGTTCTTACCCATCAGCCACTAGTCCTGGTACTGCGACGACGGCCAGCCTCCTGTTTAACTCAGTAACTTGCATTGAACTGTACCGCTTAAATGCAAATAACGTAATTCTCGGTTCCGCTGCGGTGTAATGTGTAAACCAATGGTTTTACGGTATGTAGACAGCGACGTGTCGTCGTGCTGCGCGTCTATAACCCGAAGCGCCGTAGGTAGCGTATCGGTCGCACACCTTTGAAATTAGCTATTTCTTACTACTACCATGATATGCGGATAACTGCATTGCTTTATATTATGCAGGTTAGAATTGTATTCTCCTACGGCCTTATCTCATGATGTGTACGTCGTTTGAGTTTCACACATTGGATGTGTAAACATGCTCGTAGTCATTTTGAGTTATCCTGAAGGTTAATGAAGTAAGCTGCTTCGGTTGGTTGTGGCGTCTGCCGCAGCTGGTTATGCCATATTTGTTTTCCGCAAGCATTTTCATCGACACACGAGAAGATGTTATCGTGCGCGCTGATCCTCTTAGCCCTGTTTGGGCGGGGTACGGCGGCGGAGTCCTCAACAAGCTGGCTTGGTGCATTGGGATTTTTGCCCAGAAGGGAGTTCACCCCGGCTCCCATGCGTAATGATGAACGCTACACTGACGAGAATGTGTCTTGGTGTATCATGGGCATGAGTTGCTCTCTCAAAGATAATGTAGATAAGTCCATCCTTCCGCTGCATCCTTTTGTTTCGAGGAGTGTGGTAAATGCTATCGAATACCCGTATTATTTTGCGACGCCCCTTGTTAATTCAGATAGAGGATCGACTAGGTACCGTGTTCTGCTGCAGTACGATGGCCCTGAAACAACTGTTACGACCGATATGGAGAAACTAGGTGTTGTCGGTTTGAAAAGTGGACGTCGGGTATATGCACCGCGTTACCGTAGGATTGCCGCTTTGGGTAGATTTTCGGACTACGGCAATGAAATGCTGTACGTCGTAAGCCCCAAAGGATATGTTTCAGCGAATGTATATGAACAGGTGGCGAAGTTTTACTTGTTGAAGGCACCTTCTTCAATATCATATCAAGTCGACGTAAATGGGGAGGTGCGCGTGTTACTGAAGGATTTCGCTCCTGGGCCCGCGATTTCTATCGGCGGCGCTATATTCCGCGGCAAACCCCCCCAGCGCTTTCATTTGAATATGCCAACAGTCAGTTGCGGTACCGACAGAGTTGCGGTTGGTCAGATCCCCCCGGCGATGTTCAAACGTATTAAAGTAGATATTTTCAATCTCTACCTTTACATCAAACCGTTACGTAGGGATGATATGGGTGCGCTAATCGGCGTAGTTAGCGTGTGCAACCAAAGCAAAATTAAAAGGACTGAAGTGCGTGTTGAAAGGGATATACTTGCTCTTACAGTTCTTGGTATTAACATCGAGCATTACAGGGTAACCTTTGCTATTCTATCCGCTACCAATATTTACGGCACACCGACCTCATGTGGTAGTACTGATGCGGAATGGTACGAGTTGGGTATTGGTGTACAATACCGCGGGTTCATTGCAGGCGAATGCTTCTTTGAAATACATCTCCCATTGCAGTACGCGGGGGAAAAGGTTCTGCTGTGCGGTACTTTAGGCCGTAATACATCTGTAATAACTTCGTACACGATGCCGGTTGCTTTCCTCACCCTCACAAGCAAACCATTCGTCGGTTCTTTCAGTTTGATCCACGTCGATGCGATGGGCCGAGCCAGCATTTCTTCAAAACGCCGCATGCACCCAATGAGTGAGATTCGCCTGTCCGAAGGAGAAGATGATGCGTTATCCCTGGGTATAGCGCATGGTGACGGACAACTCGCGCATAGTACATACCATCTTGAGCGCAATCTGACATATGATAAGGATTTCATCGACAAATTGGGTCACACCGCTTTGAGCCCGTCGTCAATTTTCCGTCGGATTCAAAGTTACGACTTACTGCCGCCAAATTCAGCGCAATATTTGGCTTTTCCGCCTGCCATATCTTATAGGCTGGGTGATAAGACTTACTGGTCCACAAAGATGCACTTCTTCCCCAAGATGTTGTTTGCGGCTGACAAATTATACAAAATCCGAGCCTGCGATCGTTGGCGTCATCAGTTCTGTTTGTCAGAATCCGATTTCGACACTGATGTTGGATACTTACTTCCTAATCCCTTTATACACTCAAGGTTCAGAGCAAAGTGGGAGGGTGGTGTATTAGTATTACTTATCACTACCAGCCCTTTCTATCCGGTAGTACCGCATATAAGCGTGGTGAAGATGCACACGGGCAGAATTATTGACTACGACATGCTGTGTAACAGGTCCCCATCCATTTTAGCAACTTGTGTTTCCAGCTGGCGCCTGCGTGATAAACGGTTTTTCAGTGGCTTATTTAAAAACAAAGTCGAAACGTACTTCAATCATAGGTATGAAATAGCTGGGATTGAAGAGGGTTATAATTATGCTGTATGCTATAGTTTTGACGGTCGCCGTCGTGTGAAATACGACACAAACCTTGCTACCTGGGTGGCGTGGGCCTCAAAACCTCCAGCGAACGCACAGTTCACGTTCTTGACGACGCTGAATCCCCAACAGTTTGATAGAAACCAGCGTACGACGTACCGCGCTGAAGGTAATGAGGGTGGCCCGGTGTTTTCTACTAGAGGCATTCTTGAGTCCGTCAAAATGAGCGGGGTATACATGTCGGAAGACCTCCAGTATGATTGCGCTAAAATCCACGGTCATCTCAATAAACTTCTGCCGAAGAAGAAAATACATCTTGAATTAAAGCCCAAGACCAAGGAATCGCTGTTTTGGTTACCTCTGCACGCACCGGCTGCGACTTCGAAAACGGCTGGGGCTTTGCCCAAAGGATTTTGGTTGGACATGGATGCAAGCTTGTGGAACTACAAAGGCTCTCGGTTGGGTTATAAAGGAGTTATAGAGGCGAATAAGAGCTTATACAAGGTTTGCCTATGTTACGAGGATCGTTGTACCAGTGTTGGTAACATGGCGCATTCCAAGGACCAGGCTTTTGACATTACGTCTATGCGTCAAGTTTCGATGATGTCGCGCATAGTCGCAGGCAAGAAGATTTGCGTATATGGCGGTCGGGACTTGCGGTGTTTTAATAACACGGGCAATATCAAATCAATGTTACCGACATCTGTTACCTTCAAGACAATGAACGGCACGATATCGTGTGTTCTCTTCCGGGATTACGACAATGCTATGCTCGTCGTTAAGGATGCGGAGATGTTGATTTATGACGAGAAATTCAAAACTCGCAGCGTCGTGAACATCCCGGCCAACGTAGACAAGATTTTTTCCTTCCCAAATATAATATTCATCGCATTAGAGGACGGTTTTGTCTACTTCATAAAGGGTGCTAAGCCTCTGGGCTTCGAAACAACAGCAGGTGCGGTGAATGTAGATATCGATGAGGGAATCAGTTTGGCAGAGACAAGCCACATTGCGATATCTCGAGGTCTTTTTTCTAATGACGCTAAGGGTGAGGTGGTACCCCCCCCGTCTGCATTCATATCGCAGGACTATCTTTTGGATGAAACAGATAACGAAGCCGCGGAACAAGTAGAGAGGGTGACATTCATGAAAGCCTCGAAATCGTCCAAGGTCGAATTGCAAGGTTCTAGCGGTCGTGTTCTGCAGCTGGATATCATCCCCTCTGAAGAAGCAGGAACCTACAAGCTTTTCTACATTGATGCGTCTTTCATGTTGCACTACAGCACTGGGACGCTGGTAGAAGATGCTGGCGTCACGCGCATTAACACTAAACTCCTATCCAGCGTATCCATCAGTGCTTTGTTGAACATCCCAGCAAATCCCCATTTGACTTTGAAGGCCATTTCGAGACGTGTAGGTGACGCCACTCATACTTCTGTGTTAGTTCACAGTTATGGTTACCCCAAGGTGGCAACATTCATAGTGGTCGGCAATAGCTTAGAATTTTATGGCCGCATGTCCACAACGTCCAAGCTGGTTGATTTCGTGTTTAACAAGGACCGTTTTGTTGGGTTAACACTAGAAATATCACCTAGAGGTGAGATATCGCAATCGCTCGTGGAGGTTAAGGTCGGCAACATGATGAAAATTTCCCTCAAATACGCCAATGTTCCACGGTTTTTGCGCGTTGGAGCGGAGTATTCTTTTGAACCGATATCTGTCCCGTATCGCATGTTGCACTACTCCATGCAGCAATTAGAAACATTGGAGCAGAATGGGATGAGGTTTGACGCAAAAACAGGACGTATATACGGTGCCCCGCGGACATATGGTACCTTCAAGGTGCAAGTGCAAGGTGAGGGCATATTATCTAATACAATTTGCGAAGTCTCTTTTGTTGTTTTGTGTAGCGAGGGCTATGTGTATGACGACTCGACGAAGGAATGCAAGCCATGTGAGAAGGGAACGTTTTGGGAAGATGATGGTTCCCACGGTTTCTGCAAGGCGTGCAACGATTTTATGAAAGACAGCTCCACGAAAGATGTTGGATCTGTCTCCGTATCAAGCTGTGCTTGCAAACCTGGGTGGTTCTTAAAAGGCAATGAGTGCCATCCGTGTCCGGAGGGGTCGACATCTGACGTATACGGTTCGCTAACTTGCCCAGTGATCGGTGTTACAAGGGAGGACGGTGAGGTGATCAGTGGCGCTGAATCCCTTGTCCTCTTATGCGACAAAGGGACGTATCTGAAAGGTGATACGTGCCTCCCTTGTGAGGTAGGTTTCTATTGCCATGGCGGCAGTGCACAGCCGGTTCGCTGCAGTTCTGGCATGACAACTGAGAAGCCTGGTGCCAGCTCATATACGGATTGCGTGTGCAACGCGGGATACGAATGGGTTTCAGGCCGTTGCATTGCTTGCAGTCGAACATCTTACAAGGAAGAGATAGGTAATACGCGTTGTAAGCGTTGCAGGACAGCCGACAGTTCCAGCGGCGTGCTGTATACCCCTTTTGTCGGCGCGACGTCACGACGTCAGTGTGAGCATTGCAATGAAGGGTTTTATCATGACGCAAACAAGATGTCTTGTGTGCCTTGCCCT